AGGATTCCCCTTTCAATGATATACTTTAACACTAGTTGTTTTGAATAGTTACAACTACTTTATAACTTGCTCAAAATGTCAATTTCACCCAATTCCTGTCTGACTTTTTCTGTATTTGTTTTTGTATTTTCTTGTTTATTTAATTCAGTTTTTGTTTAAGAGCCTTAGGGGGGTGGGGGGATACATTTCTTTTCATGTTTTCATGCATGTTTATAAATTGTATGTTTATTAATGAAAAACTGCATAATAAAGTTATATAAAAAAATATATATATAAATAATATTTTGCCTAGTGTTTTGAATATTTCTAAATCCTGGGAGATCCAAACAGTATTGGAATTGCATAAAGTAGGTATAACTGGAATCAGCTTTCCAGTCATTCTCTTGTGGAGTCAATAAGTCCAATGGTATTCACATGTGATGATGTTCGTCTCCATAGTAGCCATTTCATTGTAGTGAGACCACTCTTTGTATAAAATGAGCTATTGTGACCTCTAGGATAATAACAGCCTCATGAAACTGTACAACCACAAACTAGAGTGAGGGCAGGATGGCTTTCCTAGCTACACTTTCCTGACTCCACTGATTTCTTACCATACTTTGGTTGTAGAAACACAAAAAAGGCTAGGCTGAGATTGAAAGGAAGCTGACATGAAAAAGTTCACGAGCGTATTACATCATCAAAAGCGGGATGTCCCCAAGCCACTTTGAAACTCATTCTGGCACCACTGATGTACAGATGTACAGACTCAGTGAACACAGCTTGGCCACTGAAACAAACACACAGACAAACATAGCTACCAACAGAGGATGTGTTCTCACTGTGATTGGACTACCTTGTGACTGACAAGTCATTCTCAGTGGGAGCAAGATACGAAACTCCGATCAAACTGTCAACCTAGAAAGTGCTGATCAAATAGAAATCAAGATAAAACAAAAAATACAACTATTATTTTGTTACATCCACTGACCAAGAGTCAACACTGACTTATTTTAACGTCACATACGTAACTAACATACATATTTGAAGCTAAACCATGATCTTCTCCTAAAACTAACTGAGTCCTTTTGTACCTAAACCTAACCAGACTGCGGCTGTTCCATGTTAACCTTGTGACCACAAAGGTCACCTGAATTCTTTTCTGCACATCCAAAATTCATAAAATGCGTCATCTTGAATGCTATAAAATGATACGCAAAAAGCTTAAGATGCGTAGACATGACATGCAAAATGCCCATAAAATTGGTGTCGTATTCATATACCATCCCATGATATCGAAGTGCACATGTTCACTCAGTTGTGCATCAACGTCTCCTACTGACAGTGTTATTGGAAGGAATAGTTTGACATATTTGAAGATATGCTTATTCTCTTTCTGGTGGAGAGCAATATTAGGAGATCAATACTCCCATCTTTTACTTAAATATGAATCTACAGCCTGGAGCAGCAAGCTCAGCGTAGAGATCAAGACTGGAAAAAGCAATTCTGCTTGTATCTTCATATTAATATCATTTTTCCTATCAAACTGTTTTCACCAGCCTTCACCAGCTTGATGATCATGGCTGTCAGTATCCCTGGAGTGATAGCGATGGTGTTTTTCTACCTGCTTGTCCTTGGGACTGGCATCTGGGTCCAAAAAAGAACAGAAAAATAATGGGGATAGTGGGGATCTTCACAATGTCAGGTGAGTTCACGGCCAAGAACACAACAGTCAGGAGAGACTTCATTAGAGGGAACACTTATTTTATCAACACATGCACAGTAAGTACAAAAAGTAGCAGATATAATGTATTTATTCCTCTTGCAGCCACAAATACTGGAGGAGGCTTTGTTGTTGGCACAAGCGAGATGTTGTACACCCCCTCTATGGGAATAAAATGGACAATCCTTATGTTTTTTGCATACTTTGCACCTTTTATTTCAGGTAAGAGTTGAAGAAATTATGCACGCAAACAAGTTACATTGACTGTGTTTGGTCAAAAAGTGATGCAAACAGAATGTTTCTGTGTTTTTCCCTATGGAGGTGGTCTCATTTTTGCCAAGCGGATGAGAGATGGAAAATACATGACAATGTTCAACCCTTTCCAGATCAAATATGGAAATACATTAACAGCCATTCAGTCCCTGGCGGTTTTTGGATTTGCCCTACAATGTGTGCATGTGGATCTCTGCAGCTGTGGTTATTGTCTACACACTGCTGGGAGGTCTCTACTCTGTGGCCTACACAGATATTATACAGCTCATCCTCATATTCTTCAGCTTGGTGAGTTAGCTTTACTTTTACCTAGTTTTGAAAACAATTTAAAACGAGTTATCTCTGATCTACCAGATTCAAAAAATGTCGGACACTATTGGTTTAGCTGTTTACAGTAACAGCTAACATTAAACTCAGTGAAGACAAAACTACTTTCTTGATTGTGCACACAAAACATACCTGAGGGGACAAGTTGCCTGGGAGTTGAATAATTGAGGGCAGGATAGGGGAGGGGCAAGATACCTCAGGTGTATGTCCGTGGGGCTGGACAGGTGTGGAGTAGAACACCTCAGGAAGACAGCTTGGGGCAAAGGCAGATGGAAGGAGCAGGTCTGGAGGGTGACCAGGAGGCAGAACAGAAGGGCTAAGCAGCTTTGGACAAGGCTCTGGATGCCGGTGAGGTAGGGGAAGGAGCTCTGGGCGATGGGATGAAGAACGACATCGGAGGAACCACTCACAAAGCCAGTGACAAAGGTGGGACCCCTCTGGAAGGCCTGAGACGAAGGTAAAGGCCCTCTGGAGGCCGGAGATAAAGGCAGTGGGACCCCCCTGGACTCTGGCCAACAGAAGCAGAAACAGAGGTCAATGGAGCCAAGGAAACAGGAAACTGCTGAGCCACATGAGACCGCTGCAGCTCAGTAGCTCA